TATTTTTTCTCGGTGCAAAGTAAAGTAGAGGAACCAGCAGAATACCCGTCTGCATGGAGATTGCTTGATGAGCTTCCTGAAAAAGAGAGCAATTTCCGAGGCCATAAAACCCTCCCTTTGACTTCGACCTGGTGGAAAAGCGTAAACTTAGCATTAACGATTGAATTCTCACCTATCGACTGAAATACGAGTTTCGGCTCGAAATGGGAAAACGTCAATAGGACAATGCACCGAGAGGATCTACTGGCATTAGCAGGTTGGTTCAGTTTGTTGTGGAAACGTAAAAACGGGCTGCAAAACGGAGAACGCAGTCTCATTCACGGGGCAAGACTATTTTGTAAAGAAATGTATTCTTGCAGTTGACGTCCGCGTGTGCATATGCGCGTAAAAGGAGGCTGGAGACGGTAGCCGAGCTGTCTAAGGCATGCACTGTCTTCGCTCGCTCGAAGTCGGGATCGTGGGTTCGAATCCCACTCAGAGCATGGATGGTTGTGTACAGGTAGAGGCCTTGCGACGAGCTGATCACCTGCCCAAGGAGTCGTACCCGTCTAAGATCTAGTAAACCGAAGTGAAACGGAGAGTTTCATGGAGGTAGGCCTAGGGCCAAACGAGGGCTGTAGCACCAATGAACGAAAGAAACATATGCATTGAATTTGGAACCAAAACAGTGTGCAACTTCCGCTTTTGTATTCCTTATTGGCGATTTCAAAATTTTTTGGTAGAACATAAGGCCACAATGCGATGTCCAATTAGTGAATAAATACAGTACTTTCAAATGGGCGGCAGTCAACACAACAGTAACATTCAATAAGATAAAATATATACTATCGTATTAACATTTATTTATTTTTGCAATTAATATCGCGACGTTTCGACCTTTTTAGGTGATCCTCAGGTAATTCACAACCAATAACGCAAGTCCATTGACTGTATCGGAACACTAAGCATGGATTCATATTTTAGCAGAGATTAAATGATTAAATTTCGATTGCGATTAGAAAGAGTAAAAATATTAAAACGAGTTACATGTGACGGCTCATTATTGGTCCGCTCTGTTTCGTGCTGATCCAAGATGGCCGAACTGCTAGTGATGGGGGCTTGCTGTGCTGGGGTCCTTGTCAATATTTAAATCGCGTTTCGTTTGCACTCTTCTTGTTGCTGTGCAAGATCTGTCCCCAGTATTGGTCTTATTGCTATGCGCGTTCTGGTCGCGACTCCCGTTCTGGCAGTTTGATGCAGCATTGGGTGTAAGGATTAATGATTTCTAGAGTTGCCTAAAAGCTTACATAAGTAAGACAGTGCATGTACTTACATATTTCGTGGCTCCCGTTCTGCGCGTGCGCGCTGATGATCACAATACCGAGGCAACTGTTCCGTCAAAACATATCTGTAGCGAGGAGGCTTGTAACTTCGGTGGATGGTCACAGGGTGGTATAAGAAGTGAGTGGTGGAAGGGTGAGGGGTGTCACGTGGGGTGTTGTTGGAAAGGAGGGGGAAGGAGTGCTGTGAGTATGTGTTCGTTTGGATATCGAATATCGGGTTATTTGCATCAGTAAATATATCATCCGCCGGTCACGGTAGCCGAGCGGTCTAAGGCATGCACTGTCTTCGCTCGCTCGGAAGCCGGGATCGTGGGTTCGAATCCCACTCAGGGCATGGATGTTTGTGTGCGTTTTTCTGTGTTTGTCTACAGGTAGAGGCCTTACGACGAGCTGATCACCCGCCCAAGGAGTCCTACCGAATGTGTAAGATCTAGAAGAACCGAAATGAACGGAGAAGTTCATGGAGGTAGGCCTAGGCCCACTGGGGCTGTAGTGCCAAGGGGAAAAAAACAGCCTTACGTAAGTTCATAAGAATGTTACTGTAGCACTGACACAATTTTCGTTGCCGTTTTTTATTTGTGTGCTGTACATAATGAACTTGTAGATTTAGTCTACACTCAGCCATCCTCCTTCTTTCATTTCGTTCATCAATGGCTCTACAACCCTTTGTTCTACCTCTTCTTCTGTTTCGTTAATTTTTTTTTACACAGACGGTAGGATTCCTTGGAATAGCAAATAGACATTATTTAGTTCAGCTGAGTTGAGTGAATGAGTGAGTGAGTTAGAGAGCTGCTGTTGCTGTGAGAAGCAGGTAGCTGAGGCACTGGGACATTTCGGGAACCCTAAAGAAGGGTAAAGTTTGCCGTTGGAAGCCGTTATCAGACAACGACCAGTAAAGGCATGCGTGCTGTAGTGAATTGTATAGTGTGTAAATTAGTGATTGCGCTATAGCTACTTGTAGTTGCGATATATAAGAGGTCAATATATCCAATTACCGTCTGTAGTCACTCTAGTCGCTCCATCGCGGGACAATACAAACGCCGGTTTATTAATGCTAGTGTTTAGAAGGCTGTGCTTCAGATTATATAGCGTCGAAAGCGAGAATGGTGAGCAACCAGTCAGAAGGAGTATAGAAGGAAGTGGGCGTGACCTAATCTACGTATTATCTCAGCATTTCACTGCAGGGAATGAGGAAAACTATGAATTCTTCAGTCAGGAAGGTTGGCATCCCGGCCGATACTCAAACCAAGCACCTCCAGAACGCGAGTATATTGGAGTCACTGCCCTCGGAGCCAGATGTCAAATTATCATTAAACACATTCATGAAAAAGATAGACCATTTATTTTAATTTTAATCCTTCTCTGACAATAAACAATTATACTATACAATAAAATAATTATGAACTCTCACTGAAATAAACACTTTCAAATGACAGAATTATCAAGTTTATCTCACCACCTTCTGCTGCTTCATCTTCCCCAGATAAATTCATTAATCCTGCTACAAGACGCAGCATAAGCAGGGAGACAAGCTTCTCCTGTGATACACATAATTAAAGACGAAAACTGTCTTTAGGCAAAACAGACATATTTATTTCTTTATATATATATATTAATCTTTCTTCCTCGCCCGGTACTATTCAGAGGCGATTCTGCAAGCAGTAATAGTAGTTCTACTGTATTAAGTCAATCGAGAAAAATGACTAGAGAAATCGCCCAGTTTCATCCACAAACATTTGTCTGTGCACGGCCTACTGGAGGGAGAATTGTTAGGAACAATTGTTGGGTGATGGAGCATGCTACATAATATAAATTCAATATATTTTACATTCAATGTTCAATACAACCGCGCACTGATATCTCTTGCTCCGAAAACGAAGCATTTGTTTAAGATAAGCGGCAAACTCAAATATATAAGTTAGTTCCATCGATTAATTTATAAAAGTATTTCGTAAAATGTCATTGCTTATTACACTGTAAGTGGATCATGTGTTCGCCACGTTCTGCCGTCACTGACAGACATTTGAATGTAAAATTGGGTTACGACGTACTATGACGGCGCGTTTATAGTACATGTATGTGTGCGCGCATGCGTGTGAAGTGGAATGCAAACTGAGATCACTTTGGCTAGCTGAGCAGAACGCTGCCCACTGCAACAGAGTCGCCATCTGAGCGTACGGGAGGGAAATAACGAGAGGGGGGATGGGTGGGGGGCACCCGTAGGCCTGTCTACCCATGTCCCCAGTAAATACTGTTCAATAAAGAAAAAAAAAAATTACAAAGTGCAGTATCAGTGAAATCTGTCTCTTATCAGGCACTTCGACAAGTATGGGGCAGGCTGTAAAATTCAGCGCTTGGATGTTTTGTCTATGGGTACAATTATTAGAATTGACATTATTGGACACTTTTGGCCGGGAATAAAATATTTTGGGGACTTTTCACATTTCAACAACATACAAATAAAGGTACAGAAATCACAACTAAATACGTAAAACATGTTTGGTTCTGAGCTATATTGCTATACACAGCACTCACCCATAAATACTGTTTTTCTCAATATGTGATGCATGTGAGGGCAAAGGATCATCTGGAAGTTGTCATCATCTGTACGTCATCAACTCCTTTGTCAATCCAATACTGTCCTCTTAAATCCAACTGACTTCATGCAAGAGTTCTCTTTGTGGGGAGAAATTCGGCGTTGACTCTCGTGGGATTTCTAGAGTTAGAATCCATAAACTGCCCATTCTCGGGGCTTCTTGTTGCGAGTTACTTGGTTTATTTCCAAATAAAGGGTTCAGAACGAAATTCCAATAACTTCTCATAACTTTAGTGGCGGCGACTCACAGGAATGTTGGCTGAATCATACATTCTTAAAATTATCTGCAGAAATAGCATATAAAGTTTTGAATACTTTGGAACTTTTTTTTTTCAAGATTACTTACATCCACGAAAATACGAGAATGGCTTAGATCAGTAAATTTAGTACTGCAGTTCGCGGGTGATATTTAAATAATCTAACATAGAACGCAGCACACACAAAAAAAAATTAGTTTATATTCTATGTAAATATTTCGTAATTTCATTATTGCGCTCTGTATCAGTTTGTACAACTGACTGAACTCTGCTACGTTTGTGGGCATTAAAACTGACCAGAGCCACCTAAAACAAGTACGAGGTCTGACAATAAAGTTCCCGAACTCGCCACCGTGCGCTTGCTATGGCAGCAGTGAACAGACACCTCAGTATGATTTGATGACGTCGACATATCAGCGTTTCATAGCTGTGTTGTTGTTGATCTATGTCAGTCTCTTTCTGAGTTGCGTCTATTATTGTCTGCGTGTGTTTTTGTGTACTGTCTCGAGAATGTCGCAGCTTGAATTGGAGCACTGTCTGTGAGGGAGTTTTTAGCTAGTAAACAAATAACTGTGCTGGAACGCCCTCCCTATTCACCGGATCTAGCCCCCAGTGACTTTCTGCTGCTCCCGAAGATAAAGGAAATATTGAAAGGAGGGCATTTTGATGACATTGATGACATCAGGAGTAATACGACGGCAGCTCTGAAGGCCATTCTACAAAACCAGTTCCAGAATTGTTTTGAAGGGTGGCGGGGCTAGGTGCTGGAGTCGGTGCATAGCTTCCCAAGGGGAGTACTTTGAAGGTGACCACAATGATATTCAGGAACTGGTTATGTAGTACTTCCACCACGATAAGTTCGCGAACTTTACTGACAAACCACGTAGAGTTTAATAACGATGCATCCCATCATCGCTAAGTAACAAGACTGTAATGTAATATTGAGGGTGTTTACAAATGTCTCTTCCGTGCGAACAAGGATAAGCAAGCACTTCACGACGAGGCGCAAATATCACGCATTCGCCCAGGTGCAATTTACAATATGTCGTGTCGTCGTGGAGCGGAAATGGATACAACGAAATGCATTTTGGTTTCTCGGTACTTCCGTATCTCTGCCAATTGTAACGCAGTTGTATGAGAGACACTGAAAAGAGTGTGTCAAGTCTTACAGTCAAATTACTTTTAAACGCTTACACGATAAAATTTCATCTTATAAAATGCAAATTTGTAACTTTTAGTATTTACATATTTATAGCTACGTCTAAGGCAAACAAAATAATCATATATTTAAATTTAAAAGTTAAACACGCAGAAAATACTCTTTTAGATATGTGAGTCGCATCCCCTTTCTGGTAACTAGTTTTCATATCGTCGGCTTTCAATGAGCAATCGTGAAATCGTAAGACACGCATATGGACGTCTCCCTCTGTATTAAGAGTTACAATGAACTCATTTTCAGGTTATAAATATTTAATTTCTTGCTTCGGAAATTTAACGAGAATATTCTTTACTAAATTTAAATATACGAAGCACCGTCCAAATCAAAATTACAAATTCATTAATTTGCTTACATTAACGAATGATAGCCCACAGAGTTTGCACTTGCCCTACCGAAGAGAATTGAACTAACGATCAACGAGGTTTGAAAATCGTTAACACAAGCCGGAAACTGAAGAAAAAAAAATAATTCTGACTAGCAGTTCTTTTTCCGCGAGCGAGTCTTCTGTATGCAAAGCCTTTTTTTAATATTTGCAGAATATAATTGCGTAGAAATGGCCACAATTTTATCGCAACGAACGAGACTCGATTAAAACCTTGATCCGGTAGAGCTGGCTGGATGCTGCATACTCAGTTCATCCTCGGGGACGCATGCTGAACCAGTTCTGCAGCTCACAGATGTGTGTACAGGCAAGTAAATAATACTGGATCAAAACCAACAGAAAACAATTACAATTCTCGGTTTCACATACCAGAAATCCAGTTACTGCCATAAACGTATGTTGGTGCAAGAAACGGCGCATGCGTGGAAGTACGGCTTATGCATCAGTGTGGGTGGTTGTAACATTTCCGCTGAAACGTGTATCGAATGGGCCGTTCCTATTTTCGCGTATCTTCGTTATATGTGAGCTGTATTTTTGTTTTCTCCTTCTGTCGTCTCCTGCTTTCTTTCTAAAGACTTACAAAGACTTGAGAGTTCAGAGGAGCCGTGACTCAAGTGCGGCGATAGAAATAAGAAGATATCACAAAGACGCAGACGAGCAGAAACTGCGGGCAGGTGTGACTGCTGGCAGAATATTCACACTGGTCAGAGCCGTGAGGGTAATTCTCGCAATGAGCCTAGAATAGAAAAACAAAATATATTTATTATGAACTTAAAAGCTGTCTGGCAAAATGTTGCAATTATGCAGTTACTTGCGACATTATTATTATTATTATTATTATTATTATTATTATTAGAGGGGGCGGGTTTCCCCATGCACTTAGATCAGTTATTGGTCCATTGTGCGTCCCCTTTTAATTTCTGCTGTCGCCATACCCTACCGGTACTAGTGCGTGTTATCAGCCCCGTTCAGCCAACGAGGTCGGCCCTCGGTACCTGATATTTCCCCCATCTACCAGAGGCATTGGAAACTACTTGGGCGGGAAACTTGTTGCCTAACTTAGCTCAGAGGTCTCCTAGAGACATGAGGATCTTTTACGTGCCGTAAATCTACGACACGGGACCCACGGCTTAAAGTCCTTCCCGGAATTTTTCCGCCCTTAAAAATTCCACGACCTCCGCAGGGGTTTGAACCCGCGTACCTTGAGTCATGAGGTGGGAACGTTACCCCTAGACTACGGAGGCGGCTTACTTGCGACATTCTTAAGCAAAAGGAAGTAGCGCTTAACATTCGCATAAGAGATATAGCATTATGTAAGATTTGAGGTTTTCACGGCGGTGACTATAAAGAAAGCAGTCTTCTGGGATGTGGCACCGTGTCAGCACCTGCTCAAGCCGGTTCCTCGCTCGCGGATTTTTCTCCTTTCTTCTACCCTGAAGATGGAAGCGATACGTTCCTCCGAATACAACACCTATACGGCGCCACATCCCAGAAGACGGCTTTCTTCAGATATAGCTTTGTTCTCGGATGATTTTCTTCGTCTATGTTTAGTACCTGCAGATCCCGGTGGCGGCGCGGTCTAAGGCATGAACCTCCTTCGCTCTCTCGAAGGCTGGGGTCGTGGGTTCGAATCCCTCTCAAACATGGATATCTGTATGAGTTTATTCTGTGTCTATGTCAGGTAGCGGCCTTGCGAATGGCTGATCCCCCGTCCAATGAGGCCTACTGACTGTGTACAGGATTAAGAAACTGAAAAAAGAGGCCAAGATCCAGCAAAAGGGCTGTAGAGAGAGAGAGAGATAGGTAGACAGGTAAATAGGTGGGTAGGTAGACAGACAGAGACAGATAAATAGATAGCTGGATAGATAGATAGATAGATAGATAGATAGATAGATAGGTGGGTAGGTAGACAGACAGAGATAGATAGATAGATAGATAGACAGACAGACAGATAGATAGATAGATAGGTGGGTAGGTAGACAGACAGAGATAGATAGATAGATAGATAGACAGACAGACAGAGACAGACAGACAGACAGATAGATAGGTGGGTAGGTAGACAGACAGAGACAGATAAATAGATAGATAGTGTTCGTTACCTTGATAAACAACAAATTTGGTATTTCGTCCATTGCTTCTTTGTCATTTTCAGGTTGAATGAATATGGTGCCCATTATCTGCGGCCCATTTCTTATCACACGGGCCAGCGATTCCAAATGAGCAATTACTGAACAAGAAACTGAGACACCAGAAATAGCTACACCACAGAAAACTGTAAGTGACGTCAGGTTGCGGTTTCTGTAGAACTATTCCAGGGAATGGAATGGTTTCCTCACACCACAAAACCCACGGTAAGTCCACAGCATTGCACTGCAAAAATGTTGAATGTACGAGGTAGACACTGCGTCTGTCTTCATTTTTACAACTATTTACTTATATCAAAAAAAGAACGTACTTGACTAAGTGTTCTCTCACGTCGAGTTTTACTTTTCAAAACTAAACAGTTTTATTTGCAACGCAACGGTTGGGTTTTTGGCAAACTGAACNCTCGTTTGTTAATGTTTCCGAATTCCAATAGAAATAACACGAGTTCAGAAACAGACTTCTGGGATTTGGCACCGTGTATATGTGGTGTTAACCGACGTTTCGCCTCCATCTTCAGGGTAGAAGAAAAAATATACAAGAAATCTGCAATCGAAGAGACCGTGAGAACCGGTAAAAGCAGATGGAGGCGATACGTTCCTCCGAAACGTCGGTTAACACCACATATACACGGTGCCAAATCCCAGAAGTCTGTTTCTGAACTCGTGTTATTTCTATTGGAATTCGGAAACATTAACAAACGAGAGCAATATCTTCGGCGTTACTTTATAACTTCCGTCCGTCCGTCCGTCCGTCCGTGGCTTACGTCCTTTTGTTGGGCCTTGGCCGCGTTTCCCGTTTCTTATTCCTATACAGAATTCAGTAGAATCCTTGGACGGGGATCAGCCGTTCGCAAGCCCGCTACCTACACAGGGTAACACAAACAAAATAAAAGCAGACAGATATTCATGCCTTGAGTAGAATTCGAACCCACGATCCCAGCGTTCGAGCGACCGCATGCCCACTGTGATCGGCCTTGTGGGACCAATAACGCATAACAATATGATTAACATTTTCCTGTTGTAATTTTAGTTTAATTTGTGGTTTGCAATGTCTTCATCATTCCATGTTAAAGTTATAAAATGTTGTATGTGGTAAAAAATTCTATTACGTATACAGTAATAATCCCCCCCTCCCCAAAGATGTCTCCACCTTGTGGTGGTGGGGCTTGTGTGACTGTGACCTGGAGAGCTATGCCGGCGGTAGTTTAACTACCGATAGGGTCACCCATGCCGGAAATATCAAAGGGTAGAGTCCAGACCCTGCTCCTCCAGGCAGGGGGTTGGGAATGGGGCTAATGACACCATCCTGTAAAAATAATTTTGTTCAGAAACCTAACAACCAGCCTCGGGTCATCATGCGTGGGTCCATTCCTGTGGCAGCACGCACTGGTTGTGGAGGAGGTCAAGGCTCACCCAGGGCTGTAGCGCCGAGAGGTAGGTATGAAACGATAAGATTTTCATACCTGGATTAAGGAAAACGACATCTGATTTAGGAAATCCTCTGTAAACTTGGCAGTCTCCTCCCCACACTTCTTCATCACGATCCTTTGCGAACACACCAAGTAGTCCCGGAAAGAACTGGAACAATAAATCCCCAATGGATAAAGAATTCGGTGTGTTTGAACCAATCAACGATCTGAGAAATCCATTCATTTAAAAGCTTTTCGACATAAAAGTAAGTAAAAAAAGGAAAGCTATCCCTGTACCGGGCCGTGAAGGCCCATATGGTTGTGAGACGTTGATGGTCCCACATTTTCTAGACAATCGGCTCAAAAATTGCGGTAAGGTTGTCAGCCTTACGCTCCGGCCGCGCTTTACTCCCCCAGGAAAATTATTTAATTAATTCCTGGTATTCTTCGACGTGTCCTGTTAAAAGTAAGTGAGAAACGATTAGAACGCAGCCACTTGAAACTGAATTGCATCTGCTCGTGTTTGCACGCTGACTTACCAGCACACTGTTCTCAGCTCTTCATCTCGTCCCACAGCCTCGGACGCAGTCTCGTTGTTCGATCTCTTGCGCTGTTCGTTTACGCGCGCGTGAACCTCTCCAATCTTCTGCTGGTACTTATGCACGCAGTCCTCATACTCTGTACTCACTTCACGCATGCACGGTGCGTGAATCAGGAACTCTGCAAAGCGACACACAAGAGTCCTTGAGAATTACTGACGATTTGCACTAACAGATGGACTAGGTGCCAAAGCCAGAAGGAAAGATACCACAGGGAAGACCAAGGCGTAGGTAAAATGGATCTAAAGAGATAGGAAGGAATGGTATGGATTGGATTGATCTGGCTTAGGATAGGGACCAGTGGAAGGCTCTTGTGAACACGGTAATGAACCTTCGGGTTCCATAAAATGCTGGGAAATTGAGCAGCTGCAGAATTGGCGGTTCCTCCAGAAGGACTCAGCTCCATGAATAAGCAAGTAAGTAAGTAACAGATGGACTGTCTGGCTGTATACTTGAATAGTGTGGCTGAAAATGATGGTCCGATATCATGCATTAAGGATGTTCCTTGGGCACTGTCCACTGTTTGACGTTGAGATTACGTCTGCAAACTTTCGGTGCCTGGCAAAGAAGCGGTGTTCCAGTAAGGGTCAATGTCCCAAACCAGAGGGCACTTCCTATCACTTCTCGTTTACTTGAACACCATAAACAACCAGGCCGAGACATGTTGCCACAATATCAAATAAATGATGAAGGATTAACAACAGCAGCTGATCGTTTTCAGTTGCCGAAGTCGGTTCCTACCCACACGGTATCCCAAGTTTCACTGCCGTCCACACAGAACCCTACAACTGCACTCTAGGACGGGTAAGTCCAATATAATTAGGTCTTCAAACGCATTTTTCTGAGATACATTTTAAGAATTTAGGTTTGAACATTTCTAAGCGACGAAAGTACAAGTTACCCAGTTGATATAGCGTTATTACAGGCACTGAGAGGCCTCTTTCTTTGTTGCTAGTGGGGTGGGACTAAGTCCCTTGTACTGCGACCACTTCTGGCCTCTTGTACCAGCCCCAGATGATAGGTGAGGGTGATTGTGGAGCAATTGGTGGAATGAAGATTGGCAGGGGAAACCGAAGTACTCAGATAAAACCCGCCCCAGCGCCACTTTGTCCACCACAAATCCCGCTTGACCAGATCCAGGATCGAACCCGGGCCGCGGCGGTGGGAAGCCAGCAACTAACCGCTTGAGCTATGGCGCGGCCTTCTTCCCCCTTAATAAGCCACGAAAGAGCAGCTTTGAAGAAACGAAAAGTTCGCAGTGTGTGTTATAACAAAGGTCGAAGCGACCTTCCCACATCTGTGTTGACTGCTTTTAATTGTATTGCTCCTCTGCGTTGGTATGACAGTGATAATTCACGGAAGTGACGTGGTAAGGAAGAGACGGTCTTGCTTCCTCTCAAACTACACGTCACAGACGAATCTTCTTACTTGGTATTGTCCAGGCGGAAATGAGCAACGCCTGATGTTCAGCGGACCAGCGAATTACTTTCCATGCGGAGCTGCAGCAAGTTTCAGCTGGTCTAGTGCAGTGGTTCTCAAACTGGGATGTACAGCTCCCTGAAGGCGGTAAGATTGCCCAGGGGGACGCTAAGAGGCAAGGGGGCGACAGAGGGCACTGGCGGTGGCCCTCTCAAAATACGTTGCTCGGTATTTACAATTGAAGTGATTTCAGATCAGGTTTCAGAAACTGGTATCACTTCATCAAGTGCAGCCATCTCATTAATAATTCACTAACAGTGAAGCAGTTACCTTATCTTGTTGTTCTTATCTTCCTTACTGAGCTGTGCAAACCGCCATTCTGAAAAATTTTTATAGCGTAGGACTGGGATCACTGGGGACGAGTTTATGGAACCAAGTGTTAGGTGGCCCGAAAAAGTTTGGGAACCACTGGACTAGTGGATGATATATATTAGCATTTTTGTTTTATGTATACAGATTAGAGCCCCTAACCGTCTCTCAGATTCATAATTGATTCCCAAATTCTGACATTTAGTGGGCCCGCTGTAGGGCTCATGAAGACACAACATGGAAATACACGCACAGAGATCAATGTAAAAGTAAAGTAAAGTAAAGAAAAGTAAAGTAAAGCTATCCCTGTAACAGGCCGTGGAGGCCCATAGGGTTGTGACATGTTGAGGGTCCCACACTTTCTAGACAATCGGCACATAGATAACGGTAAGGTTGTCAGCCCTACGCGCCGGCCGCCCTTTACCCCCAAGAATATTCCTGGTACTCATTTCTGTTAGAGGCTGAGTCGACGCCAGGGCCACAGTGCAGCTGGAACGATTAGGTAAATTGAAAAAGAAATTCAATGACATCGGGATTCGATCCCGCGACCTTCCGGCTTACAGCATAGTGCCTCAACCAACCACGCTACCGCGTGCCCCCACAAATCAATGTTTCGGGTGATTTTCGGCCTGCCTAACGTCCACAGCGTTCAAGCTTTCTAAATACACACACGAAACATAACCTCAAGGAAATTTTGAAGAACCTAAACAGTATTAATGAGATACGTATTTTACCTGAAAGATGGCAGCACAACCTCAAGGCACCAATTTACTGTACTAATTTAGTATTCATAATACAGAATTTGGGTTTAGGTTCTGAAGTGACACTGCCAAAGAGAAGACACGTATTCATGTCTCAATGAAGAGAAGACAACAGATATCCGCGTTCGCTTTCGTCACTTCAGTAACTGACAGTGAAAGCCGCTGAAATTGGATTTTAACTTCGCGTTTCAAATGTTGCTTTTCAGGGATCGCTCGTCTACGTTAATTCGAATGTCTCAGAATTCTCCACGGAACCTCGTGCGCCCTTCGTCTCAGCCTAAAGAACATCTGCACAGTTATCAAAAGAGAATCCATTCGGTAGCGAGAATTCCGTAAGAATCCAAAGAAATCTGTTGACCAAACCAAAAGTAAGTTGCAGTATTACATATGTTATGTAACGGGCTGTGGAGGCCTGTAGGGTTGTGAGAGGTCGAGGCTCCCACATTTTCTAGACAGTCTGCTCACAGATGGCGATATGACTGTCAGCCTTATGGACCGGCCGTCCTTTACCCCCAGGAAGATTCCTGGTACTCATTTCTGTCATATACCGAGTTGACCCCAGGTATATAGTGCGGCAGGAAGGGTTAGGTAAATTGAAAAAACACAATAAACACATCCGGAATCAACCCGCGACTTTGCGGCTTGTAGCATAGTGCTTCATCAACTACGGTACCGCGTGCTGTCATGGATTCGTGTACAAGACTATGAGATGTGAAGAAGTTGTTAAGAACAAAATAAGGCCAAGATTTACAGAAGTCCTAACGCTTGAAATTGGATTAATAAACTTATTGATTCTGTCTAGAGAAAGAATGGGGCACGCGGTAGCGTAGTTGGTTGAGACACTATGCTACAAGCAGGAAGGTCGTGGGTTCGATTTCCGATGAGGCCACTGTATTTTTCTATTGACCTACTCCTTCGTGCAGCATTATGGTCCTGGGGGTCGACTCAGTTTCTAACAGAAATGGGTATCAGGAATCTTTCTGGGGGTAAAAGGCGGCCTGCGCCTAAGACTGACAACTTTATCGCCTTCTGTGAGCCGATTGTCAACAAAATGTGGGAGCCTCGACGTCTCACGACCCTATGTGCCTCCACGGCCTCTTACAGAGATAGCTTTATCTTTTTATCTTGGAAGAAAAAGGAAGTCTATTATTTCGTTTGTTTACGGCGGGTGATAAGACTGTCTGTAGCAATTATGCTACCAACTTCAGAAAACACGTGATACTGTGTGCGGGCAAGCAGGCTGCCGGGGAGACCTGACAACTGTCAACACATGTCGCAGAATGAGAGGTGTATATACTTCGGGGAAGATACAGGCGTAAATAAGAATGATAACATTTTAGCGTGTAGAGCCTTTCTAGGTAACAGCTCGGTAAACACGTTCCCGCGGCAACAATACGGACATTTTTGGAAACAGTTGTTTTCTAATAGGCCCGTGCAAAGAACAACCCTTCCGCTGGATGGACGCTGCCGTTTAGAGTGGACCTGAGACCGGGAGCAGAGGAGTAGCCACTGTTAGGAGCCGTTACTAGTTTTGTGGTCAACAAATCCAATATTCAGTTCAGGAAGATCGTCCAGAGGCACACTCAGACACCTGACAATATTCAAATGGATCTTAAGGATATAGTAAGAGAATATGTGGGCCGTATTAATGTAACTCAGGGGAGAAGCCAATGACGGAGTGTTATGAACCTTCGGGTTCCGTAAAACGTGGGATATTTCTTTGGCAACTTGGGGATTATTAATTTAGCAATAAGAATTTTGGTCAATGTAGTTAATTAGAAGGTTAGAACTAACAGCAAACCGACCTTTCAAGTATGACTGAATGAACTATATAAACAGATTCTGCAAGAAGACGACAGTAAATATTCGTGTTGCTGTCTCGTCGCCAGAGTGCAGGCCAGGACAGAAGAATATCTAACAGATCATTTGGAAACGTGGCACAGTTCAGATATTTGGAAGTGACTGTAACAGCTCAAAATTTGCTTCAGGAGGAAATTAAGAGGAGATTGAACTCGGGCAATGCTTGCTACCATTCAGTCCAGAACCTTTTATCTTTCCGCCTGCTGTCTAAAAACGTAAAAACTATAATATACGAAACTATATTTTGCCTGTGGTTCTGTATTGGTGTGAAACTTTGTCTCTGATATTAAGGGAGGAACATATACTGAGGGTGTTTGAAAACAGGGCGTTGAGAATATTTGGACGGAAGAGGGAAGAAGTGACAGGAAGTTGGAAAAACTACATAATGCGGAGCTTCATAACTTGTACTCTTTACCGGATAAATTTGGAATGATGAAATCAAGAAGTATGAGATGCGAGTGGCGCATGTAGCACGAATAGGGAAAAGAAAAATGCTTAAAGGATTTTGGTGGGGATATCAGAAAGAAAGATACCACTGGAAAGACATAAACGCAGATGGTAAGATAATATTAAAATGGGGTAGTATGGATTTGATTTATCTTGCTTAGGATAGGAACCAGTGGAGGGATCTTGTGAACAAGGTAATGAACCTTCGGGTTCCATAAAGTTTTGGGAAATTCTTGATTAGCTAAGAGACTAGCAGCTTCTGAAGAAGGGCTGGAGTTAGGCTACTGCGTAGCAACTTGCCTTCCTGGTAGGGGCCCGGATTACACAGCTTCTTGATGACTTGCGTCGTGCCGTCGTACAGCCGGTTGAAGTGGTTCCGTTTCTCCTCCGTCATGCACCGCCGAGTGAAGCTGTCGATGCAACGGATTCCTCGGTTCAGATCCCTGCAACCACAATCAGCAACTTGGTTTCAATTTTCATTGGCGATGTTGGCTACAATGATAGAATCCCCACTAAATATGCTCTCTTCTGTTCGGTATACTACAAAATCGCAAAGGAAACGACTACAAACTTGACGAATGCAGGAGAGTATTAGATCGAATCACTAACCGAGGAGGCTGGCGTATATTCAATATTCCGAGGCAAATGGCCGTGTGTTTTCCTAGTGTTTTATAGTGAATGGAAGGTGAAGTTATCTGTAACAGGCTGTGGAGGCCCATGCGGTTGTGAAAGGTTGAGGCTCCCACATTTTCTAGACAATCTGCTCACAGAAGGTGTGAGGCTGTCTTACAGCCTCAGTATGCAAAGGTTAGGACAGGAGGCGAAATCTCCAACACCGCTTTCTCATAGCGTTCCGAATTCTGATGCACTCGACTTTATGACCAGAATCTCATTCTAGTTGAATGCATCGTTAAACAACCTACGGTCCAGTCCAGTCTCTACGGAGCCCGAAATATTAATTAAAGTAAGATTTAAGATTCTCACAACGCTGGTTATGAAGAGTATCTTCTGGGATACAAAGCCGTGTAGGCCGTTGAAAGTCAATAGACGTTTCGGATGAACATATACCCTCCATCCTAATAGTGGAAGAATAAGCTGAGTTGAGGTTACCATAAGGGATCCAATTTATAATGGAAATCATAGATTGACGGCAATGACTCCCCAAATAGCGGGCCGACAAAGTTCACAGATAAAATATTTTCTTTAAAATTCGGGTTAACTTCACTGCCTGGAGCGGTGAGCGGCAGTTCTGAATTCGAAAGGTATATAGTTCAATGTACAGGTAACATATTTAGCCTTCCTTATTCAGATAATATAAAAGTAGGCTTATGAGATCAACATTCTGTCTGTGTGTCTGTGTTTCCCCATATTAACTTCTGAATGGATTAACCGGTCTTTATGAAACTTGGTATGTATATCATGGCACCTTATCTCATCTCAACGACGTACTTCATGAATGTCTTCATGTTTACGTGTGTATCCCCTACTGTTGATAGGCAACGGCTCAGTAAAAGCATTACCGCGGCAACGAATACACATTCAATAATAGAAAATTTGTTGGAGACATCGTTTTCTATGCGGTCGGTGCCGTATCAAAAGGAAAGTAGACAGTTCTTCCGACAAATTCATTTTCTTTCAGTACATTGTAACAACATTTGAGCCGGTCACAGTAACCGGTCACTCGGACGCTGGGATCGTGGGTTCGAATCCCAGACAGGGCATGGATGTTTGGTTTGTGTATGCGTTTATTCTACGTTTGTGTTGTCCTGTATTTAGGTAGAGGCCTTGCGACGGGCTGATCCCCCGCCCAAGGAGTCTGTGTAACAAGAAACAGGAAACTGAAGAAGCGGCCAGGGCCCTGAATGGGTTGCAAGCGTCACCAACAGAGAGAAAGAAGGAAGGAAGTCTAAATAGTGAAACTCGGTTTTTAAACCAACACCGTAATAATTATGTTGTTATTATAACTAAGAGTAAAATAAGACACTTTTCCATATAACGACTCCATTACAACGGCCGAGGTTTCATAGGGTCAAATAAGAAATAAATGACTTGAATATAACAAAGTTCCCGGTGACCCGGCCGAGAGTAATGCAGGAAATACAGACCCTACATTAATCTGCTCGACAAGAGCAAACTGCCGTGTCTTTGCAGTGTTTCTGTACCCCGCAAAGCACAGTATCTCGGGAGAAATTCATCACTGTATATAAGATATACAAAACTTTCCACTTTACACGAAATACACAAAGATTGAACTTTAATAACAACACACTGATAGGTACAAGGCTGCGTTTGCTTATAAAAGCCACCGCGCTTAACTCTCAACATAGAAACAGTGCAGTGATGTCCATTAGTGAACGTGATTAAAATTGGCAACAGTAATTGTGTTCAGGAAAAGCTATGCAAACCTGCAATATATTAATTTAGAAAGTACTTTGGTCACAAAAGTTAAAAATTCTGGGAAGTCCTGCAATATCTATATAGTGATGACTGAGGAGGGAAGGTGGGGATAGGGGGGGGAGGGGCTGAATTAACTGAAATTGCAGGATGGGCTATCCGTGTGAGTGCTGATAGCGTTCGCAATGCTTTTTTTTCATTTCAAAACAAATTTGAATACACATTAATTTAATTAAAGAGACATCGGATCACGTAACACGATCGGACTCTCTGGCAGAGTCAGAAGTTTTTTTTTTTCATTTAAATAAAGTTCTTTCAACTTCAGGTCCAGGGTATTTTTAAGAGCATACCAGCTATCGGTCTCTCCGATAACGTTTCCAGAATACTACAAAACCGTACACAAATATTACATACTGGATGACTTGCACTTTATATTTACAAAAAACTAAATTTGTTCTTTCGAATTATAACCACCTTTAGACAGAAATTAATTTCGAAATCTTTATTTCATGTGTTTTTGGCACTGTGCTACAAGTCGGAAGGTCGCGAGTTCAATTCCCGATGTCACTGGACTTCTAACTAGACCTAACTCTTCCAGCGGCACTATGGCCCTGGGGTCGACTCAGCCTCTAACAGAAATACAACGTAAGTACCATGAATCTTCCTTGAGGTAAAGGGCGGCCGGCGCTTAAGGCTGACAACATTACTTCCATCTGTGAGCCGACTGTCTAGACTCTAGAGAATGAGGGAGCCTCGACGCCTCACGCCCCTATGGACCACCACGGCCTGGTACAGGGATAGCTTCACCTTACGCACAATGGAAATATCCATATGCAGGAATAATATTAGTAATATTAACTTTCATACTCAAATAGAAACTTCTTTCCAAGGTAAATGAGCATTGGCGTGGGGGGAACCTCCAGTCGCCTCAAGCAAAATATGACGACAGAGTCCACTGTGCGCCCATGGTCCTTCAACGCTAGGACCAGATCTGTAGTGACAAGAGCTAGGAACAGGAAATATTTTCTTAATTTCTAAAATATAGACCTGGTAAACGTAAAGTTGCTCGGTCACGCGTGCACTGTCTTCGCTCGCTCCGAAGCTGGGATCGTGGGTTCGAATCCCACCCAGGGCATGGATGTTTGTGTACAGGTAGAGGCCTTGCGACGAGCTGATCACCCGACCAAGGAGTCCTACCGAATGTGTAAGATCTAGAAAAAAAACCGAAGTGAACGGAGAAGTTCATGGAGGTAGGCCTAGGCCCACTGAGGCTGTAGTGCCAAGGGAAAAAAAAACGTAACGTTGTCCCTGTGCTTACCTAATTAAGCACAAGGCCATGAAGGCGTATGGGGGAGTGGATGTATAGATCCACGTTTTATTGACCTCGGCACTAACTGGAGGAGAGTGTTCAGCTTCACGCCCCTGCCGCTTTACCCCGGTTCCCATTGGATAGGGGTCTGTGTGGGTACCAGAGCCGGTCTGAACGACTATAAACCTTTGTGTGTCTAAATGTTTCCACGTGTTTATTGCTGCGTGACGAATAGTAGCCGGGTTTTGGAATGATTTCATTTACTAGCGCTTCCTTTAAAACCTCTCTTAATCGCAATCAGTTATAATAACTCATAATACTTGACTGCTGAGGACTCGCTCCATTCTCGCTCTATGACTGACTTCCGGTTTATGACTTTACTTACATAGTCTGAAAGCAGACACACAGAAAACGCCACTTCCACTATGGTTGTATTCACAGCCCGCTGCATAGCAACGGAAGTTGTCTAATTGTTGCCTGCGTATCAGTTGTCGTGGCAATGTGTTTACAGAGTCGTCCATAGCGGACAACACAGAAAACACTTCTAGTAATACCTTTTCTATTGTTACGTGCGCGTATTTCGGACATTGTCTAGAAATGAGTCTACATGTCACAATATTTTCTAATTACAAGCATATGTCATTTCCTTGACTAACATGTAAGCCTCCAGGGAAGTCTGAATGTATGCAATATTGTCACCAGGTTTCGCTGCAGTTATCCAACTAGCTCCCATGGCAGCAGAAGCAAAGATTATATAAATTCGAAAACATTAGTTTCATGTGTTTTAATTACTGTACAAGATATTCTCATAACCAAATGTCGCTACATTCACGGAACTCTGGGAATGTGTTTTCAATGCTACCCGTTGTGATTACCAAAAGCATAGCTGTGTAAGATAAAGCAATGCGGCAGGGGGCGAAACTAAACCAGGGCGAACCGCTAATTGAAGCGTCACCCCGTTAGAGTAATTCTGCAACCCCAAGATTAAGAGTAACGTGCAAGAGAAAAGAACTGAGCCAAAAGAGAGGTAGAAAGTGTGGTGGGGGGGGTGAGGATGCATTCCAGTAACACTTGGCATCTTCGTCCGTCCTTCAGCCAGTGTTCTCTGCTGTGGATACGTACAGAGTTGGACAAAATAATGGAAGCACTACAGACACTGTACACATTCTCTATTGCTATGGCGACGGATCACATTTAGCCTTCAGCAGAGCAACAGTCTTTCTTGGAATGGACTCGTACAAGTCTTGAACAGCCTCTACCGGAATTTTATACCATTCTTCTTGAAGATTACCTCCAAGTTGCTTTAGAGATGTTGGAGGTGGGAACCTGTTCCTCACTGTAGTCTCCAAAACTGACCAGAGTGGTTCAGTTCAAATCTAACGATTGTGCTGGACAGGAAAGGTGTTGAAGTTCACCTTCATGCTCTTCACACTATGACTGAAAAGTTCCAGTTGTTCCGAAGACTTGGCTCAATTCAATTCCTTTGCTCCAAAGCTCATATCCCGGTAGACTGGCGTCTCGAAACTCGACTCAATTCTGATTCTAGCAGCAGGAGATCCTCGAAAGTTTCGCGCCCATATAGGACTACGGGAAAAATTAGAGTTTTGTATATATTTCAATTTACGTTTATAGGTAACAGACGAGAAGACAGAATGTTCTGAACCGGATGGCAACAAGCATTACCGGAAGTTAATCTGTTCTCAGTTTCCTCAAGAATATAACTTAGATTTGTTAGTGTCG